CTGGCTGTCTGTGTCATCCCTTGACAAGGCCTTCTCCATGTGCTTAAGCATCTTCAGGATCTGGATCTTTGATTCTCATACCCTTGAGTTAGAGAATGCACCATTCTCTTCACATGATCAACAGCACTTAAGGCAATTACACTCAGAAAATAATACTCAATATGCATATGCCTACATAAAAGCAGCCTGACACTGGCATTTCAAATACAGAATTAAACTGATTTGGTCTTTATTTTCTAAGAGCACTTAATACATCTTAAGCAATGGAGCATCAGGCAAGTAAGAGATTTTAATGATGGCATCTGGAAATGATTTGCAAGTTAGGGCTCTCTTGGCAGTATGAGTAAATCTCSCTTGATTTCAGTGGGAATGAGCAAGGCTCAATTAAAAGACCCACTCCAGGGAAACAGTATGCTTGAGCAGTACTGGAGGGCATGTCACATATAAGAATGTAAGATAATCTAATTGGCCTGATTAAAAGAATCCAGCAATTTGATTTAAGCACCCAACAGCAGGTGAAGCTCTTCCAGGGGAGTTACACTTGTTCTGTATTCAGCTAAGACATTTTCAAACCATCACATACCAAAATACAGACTAATTATAGTCTTTGCATAAAAGAGGAAAACTGCCCAATCTCTATGCTTTTGTTTCATCTAATCTACGTTCATTGCACTCCTCATGCAAATGAGCCCATTTGTTACAAATGGAGTAAAATTACTTTGCTAATCATCCAGTATTTTATCATCTGTGTTTCAGGCTTTAAATATCTTGTTTGTGTATACCTGTCTGCTAGTTGTGGTAAAGCACATGGTATCTSCAAAATTCATCCTAGGGCAAGCAAGCAGGCTCCACCTCAGAGYTTTCCACAAAGTGCAGAAGGAAAGTTAGACCTTTATGTCTCTGTCTCTGCTGATGTGTGATCCAGGAGTGTGCTGTGTGTCCCTTCTGGAAACAGACAGCCCCCAGTTATATGCCTACAGAATTTAGTGAAGAGGAAAAAGCTTTCATTCCCAATTTCMAGTCCAAATCATCCTGGCTCCCTTTTTGCCGAGATGGGAATCCAGCGCAAACAGTGTCACATACCCTGACAGATGCGGCAGCATGAAGGAAAGATGGAAAGGGTGACTCATTTCTATCCTGCACTTGTACTCAGGAATCAAAACAGGCAGCAGCTGTCCAGACTCCACCACAAGGATGCTAAGGCAGATTTGCAGGCGTACACCAGGGTTGGAGATAAGCAGCCTTCATCAAAAGCCCAGTAAAATTCTGATACTGAGGCACATTTGTCGATGACTGTCTCTTTAGAGTGTGTAAGAAGGAACTTGTAGGAGCTTCTTCACTTTTCGCTTAAATCAGATTGTTCTGKGATAGGGGAACTATCAAAGACAAGTTTCAACACCTCTTTTTTGGCCTAAGCSTAAGTGCTCAGACTAGTCAGGCTGCTGTTATGTGGAATGGACATTAGCTAAGTCTTGACTGCCAGTGTTTACAGAATCACAGAATTGTTAGGGTTGGAAGGGACCTCTGAAGATCATCCAGTCCAGTTCCTCTGACATGGCAGGGTCACTCTGAGCAGGTGACACAAGAACTCATCCAGGTGGTATTTKAATGTCTCCAGAGAGAGAGACTCCATGACCTCCCTGGGCAGCCCATTGCTGCTCTCAGTGTAAAGAAATTCTTCTTCATRTTGAGGTGGAATTTCCTGCCTTCTGGTTAAGGCCATTACTCCTTGTTCWGTTGCTGAGCACCACTGAGAAGAGTCTGGCACCATCCTCTAGGCACCCACCTTGGAGGCAATTATATTAACCAATGAGATCCCCTCTCAGTCCTCTCTAGGCTAAACAGGCCCCGCTCCTCCAGTCTCTCTCTCTCTCTCTCTCCCTCTCTCTCTCTTCTCATAAGAGAGATGCTCCAGATCCTGAATCACCTCTGTGGCCTCCACTGGACCCTCTCCTTGTCTKGCACTGAGGAGCCCAGACCTGGGCACAGAACTCCAGATGTGTCCTCACCAGAGCTGAGCTGAGGGGGACAATCACCTCCCTTGACCTGCTGGCACTGTCCCCGATGCCCCCCAGGATCCCACTGGCCCTCCTGGCTGCAAGGGCACTGCTGGCTCATGGACAGCTCCTCGTCCACCAGGACCCCAGGTCCCTCTCTGCAGAGCTGATTCCAGCAGGTCAGCCCCAGCCTGTGCCGCTGCCTGGGGTTATTCCCTATCAGGKGCAGGACCCTACACTTGCCCTTGTTGAACCCCATYAGGTTTCTCTCTGCCCAASTCTGCAGCCTMTCAAGTCCCACTGAGTGGCAGCCCAACCTTCAGATGTGACAGCCTCTCCCCAGTTTTGTGTCATCTGCAGGCTGGCTTAGGGCYCATTCYATCCCTTCACCAGGGCTGTTGATAAACAGAATGAGACTGGACCCAKTACTGATCCCTAGGGAATRMCACTTCTACAGGCTTCCAGCTGGATTCTACTCCTCTGCACAACCCTCTGAGCTCTGCCATTCAGCCAGTCCTTGATCCAGCTCACTGTCCCTTCATCTAACCCACACTTCTGAGCTCACCTACGAGGATGTTGAGTGAGACAGTGTCAAAAGCCTTGTGGATGTCAAGGTCCTGCCTTGAGAAATTTATACCTGAGACACTGTAGATGTTTAGCCAAGAAATGTGGGAACTCAGATTATCCTGTTACCTTTGTTCTGCTCCAGGTTTGATTCAAAGAGGTCAGCAGTATAAAGAAGGTCACATCCATTTTGTTTCCTTCAGTTCTTTTTTCTCCCCCACCCCCCACCCCCCAGCACTCTGAACAGGATGTTGAAAGGAAAGCATATTCAAAGTCAGCTGCTCTGAATTCAAATGTATCGGAACTATTGATTTCAGTCAGACAACTCTCTTGATTACTTTGGGCTTTTCTATTTGAGTTTTGTTTTGGTTTGGTTTTGGGTTGTTTGCTTCATTGGTTTTTCCTTTTTCTTTAATTTACAAGATTTTTTTTTTCATGAAAGAGATTCATTTTGGCTTGCTCAGAGCTGCTACAGGTGTTGAAAGAGCATACGGAACTGACAGCACAGCCCACCTTGCAAAAACTACCCCACAACAGAAAAATTCATCCCAGTTGCTCCCAATAACTCTTACTTTGTTTTGTCCTTGCACACCCCTCACCACAGCTCTACTTTCCTACAAGTGTTCTTCGCATCCCATCCAGGAATCACCTCAATCTGCCACTGAGAGCCTCAGGAAGGAGCTCTTGTGCCCTCACAGGGGTTCCCCAGGCCACCCTCTGCACACCCAGACCTGTCAAGCCTGGAGCTTTTAAACACACACAGCTCAGAGTAGGGCAGCTCTCCCCATATTAATCTTTCACACATCAGACTGTGCTTTGTAAACCAAAGCTGTGGCCCATGCTGCTGTTCACCAGAGGATTTATCACACGCAGGCATCTCAGTGCAAGTGCCAACACGACGTGCTGTGCTGTGCTGTGGTCCCTGAGGCAGCGCCACCCATTTCCTCTCCATGGTGGATCTCCACAGGGCTGCCCTGCAAGCTTGTGGCAAAGCAGGAGGGAGGGCGGTACTTTTTGGCACACTGTTGGGCAGCATTAAACAGGCATTGCTGGAGACTTTCTGCCAACACAGAGCAGAAAGCAGGTGTTCACATCCCCAGAAGCATGTCTTTGTCAGAGCTGTGCACAACAAAACCCCCGTTGTAACTGCATCTCCAGCTGTGGAAATCCTCTCCAACAGGACCCTGTCTTCTCTCAGCAGCTGCCTTGTGTCCCAGTTGTGACAGGGAAGGATCAAGGATCTTACTCCACGGATGAGGCACCTCCAGCATGGCTTTTGTGAAGGAACTAGGCTTCCAGTGCCACTGCCAAAAGTCCAGAGCAGTGATGTGCAGGATGAGCTTGTGCGCAGCCAAATCTAAGAAGCTGCTCACCCACTCTGAAATCACTTACTGCTCTGGGCTGCTGACCCAATCATGTTAGTCTCTTCAGCATTTATTTGAAACAAAAAGCCACCCAGCAGCTTTCWAGGTGTTTTTTTCTAATAAGAAAAGTGGACCTCAAGTCTTCCTATCTTGACTGACATTACCAGCTCTCAGAGTAACAGACGCAGGGTCTTCTGAGTTTGGGACCTCGTGTCTTCCTGCTGGTGAGCAACACTGMACCCATGCAGTACTGGGTGCACATTTGCTGTGTGAGTGGCACTGTGTCAGGTTCTGCAGCACTATGGTCTTTGCAACAGACATCAGCAAATACAACACACTGGAGTGGTAAAATCAGAGGTCTAAAAAAGGTATAGGTGATTAAAGTTTTGCATTTTTGTCTTGAGACTAAATACGATGCTTAAGGCCATCTCTGGTGGCTGGAACCCTCAATTCTTCAGATGACAATGCTGTCACACAAAAACAGTGGTGCAACAGATTGAACATCCCACTGAGTTCCCCCATAACCCMGTATCACACTGAAAATGTGTTCTAAATACCCAGCAAGTGGGGAGGACAACGGTGTTACACTGGGTGGGAAAGACAGATGCTGAAGGAACAGGGCTACTCCTCATGGCAACCCAAGCTTTTCATCAAATGAGGAGAGATAACAGGTCCTTTGGGATGACCCTCTGTCCCCCATCAGGCAAAACAAAGGAATTAATGTCCACAGGCCTATGTCTCAATCTGAACACAGAGAAACAACTTCAGAAAGTTACTCACCTATATGTGTCCTACCAAACATAAATGGCAGGGACATGCCAAAATCACAGCAAGGCCACAACTTTCACTTCAGGCCTGATAGTCAAGTTGAACATTTTTAGGGAATCATCTGAATCGTAACAGAGGTAATGGCAGAACAGGACACTGTTTGTCATCGAGTCTGGGAATCCTCAAGCTATGGAGGCACTGTCTAAGAGCAGGTGACATTGCAACTAATGTGTAAATGCATGGCTACATAAAATAAAACCAAAATTAACAACAGTTTTCAGCTGTGATGTTTGTATATTTTTTTTAAATGACATACATTTTCTTTTTTATTGGTTAATTTTATTTTTAAAGTTTTATTATGAAATCAATGACAAAGCTTTCTAACTTCAGGAAGTAACATGTGAAACAGTAAGAAATTGCAGAGACAATTTCAAACACAACAAAACCACAGAACCCTTGACAAATGTTGGCTGAAAGAGATCTTTGGAGCTCACAGAGAGCAATTTCCAGCCAACAGCAGGGACAACTAAGTGAGGTTGATCCAATGCTGGAAGATCTCCCAGGGTGAAGGTCTGGGCCCCATCCCCATAATAAACACCCAGGTAAGAGAAGAGCCTGCTGACCTCCTGGAAGTGTCCTGTACTGCAACTTGTGCTTGTTGCCTTTGAAGCTCTCCCTGTGCCCTTCCAAGAGGAATTTACCTCCATTATCTCCATTCCCCCACTCCTTGGAGCTGACTGCATGCAAAAGGTCTCCGATGCTTCCTCATCCCCAGGTTGAAACAAGGCACAAATCACTGTGAACTCAGCTGATAAAAGATTGTTCATGACTGCATGAAGGTCAGACAGGCAAGCACTTGCTCAGGGTCTCTGCTAACCTAATTGCTCAATCAGCAATTTATAGTAATTTATTCAGATGACAATATCACTCACTAATCAAATGGACAAYTGTCCCTGGTGTGAAGCACACCCCGATTAGTCAAAAAAAGAAACTCCTCCCCCTGAAGACCTTGCAGACTGAAGGAATTTACTGCCTGAAGGAGCACACAACTCATGGGATGCAAAGGGAAAAGCACTTCAGGATTCAGTAAAGCTTACTGCATGTGTTTAAGGGGATTGATGGAAGATGCAAGTCATTATGTAATACTTAGGGAGGAGACAAAAGGAGGGGAAAAGGAAGGATGGCTCAGAAAGGAATTCATATGATAAAGCAGAAGAAAATGTGGATTTAAAGTGCTGGCTCAGCATAAACAGGCTTCTAGTGTGTATACTTCCCTGTGGCAGTTCTTCATCTCTACTGAGTGTCCCATTCTCTCACTAAATCCTGCTTCTTTGTGAGTGCATCCTCTACTTTTGGTAGCGAACAGCAGTGAACAGTAGTGAACTTCAAGTGGGACACACTTGTAAGAGGTCTGGATACCAGCAACAGAAGCTGGAAGCCTCAGGGATTCCCTTGTCTGGGCGACAGCAGCAGGGCAGGCCACTGGGACCTGGGCCAGGTACTGCATGTCCATGCAGACACACGTGTGTGTGTGTGTATGCTTTTTCCTTGAATACTGACAAGCTGGGGAACAGGATCAGGCTGTCAGGGCTGTTCACCAGCCCATGGGCACCATCCTGCACCATTACCAGCCCATGTGCCCAGGCTGTACTGCTGCCCATTCTCTCTCCACTTCCTCCCATCACTTCTCAGCCAACCAAGGGACCTCAGACTACTGAAGTCAACCCCTGGAGCCCAGAGATCAACTCCACCTTCACGCCCACTCATCTATTGCTCAACATGTGGCTACCAAGTACACCCTGMTGAAGGTCTTGTTTAGGTAGAGAAGAACCAATAAATGGGCCAGCAACAAGCTGTCCTGCAAATTTCCTTTCAGTCATTTTCCCACCATCCAGTTCTTGGCGAACAGACTCCCTCTATATTACCTGCTTGTGCACTGAGGAGAGGCTGATGGCCAACTATGGCCAGCTACTCCCCAGACTCTCCTTAGAAAGGAAAGTTAGATGGTGCAATGCTAACCTCACAAACATCCCCTGATCATACTCTTTCATAGTTAGGAGAGTGGGAGGCTTATAATGACACCCCTCCTGCCCCACTGACCAGTGGGGCCACAGCTTTTTTCCCCTCTTTCTGCTGGTGAAGCAGACAGGGAAACCTTGGTTTTTCAGGGGAAGCCCTTCATGGTAACCTGCAACCATGGCCCCACTTCCCACAACTGTGCATGTGTGTAGTTAAATCTTGTTTAAGTTTGCAAATGCTTTATGTGAGGGATTCCAGAAACTCCCCGTACCCTTACTAAGAGAATCACAGAGGAACAGTGGCCTAGCATGCATGTCCTGGCTACTGGAAAGGCTGAGGGCATGCTGTGGATTTCCTGCTGGCTTATGTAGAACCAAGGAAAACAGAGGGTTTTTTTTTCCCTAGAGAGCAGAAATACAGATATAGAATATATGAAATACAAACAGATTTAGTATTTTTTTCTTAAACCRGAATTCATTTACAAGAATGAAGCTCAAGCTTCACCACTTTGAATYTGTGGGATCATAGGGGACATCAGTTACAAGCTTTGGTCTGTGCTGACTGATGGTGACCTAGTGAAATGTAGCAGAGCCACCTACAGACCACAGCAACTGGCTGAACCTGTCTTTGACAAGCAGTGAAGGTGCTGAGCAGAAATGTTTACCATGGCAAAACTTTATCCAAACAGAGCAAACATCCCTGCTCAGAAGGCATTTAGGGAGGAGTCTGTGCCTGTGCATAGGGTACTACTGAGGAGGCTGCAGCCCAGGCTGATTCCACACTGAAGCAGGGACAMGAGATGACTTGGACAGAGGACACTGGTATGCTCAAAATGCCAAAAAAAAATCCCCAGTAGCATTCCTGCTTCCCGTGTCACTTGTCTCCTTGTCTGAGGGTTAGAAACATGTTGAACGTGACAAGAAGGGAGGTAGAACAGCGAACTAGTGAGATAAGAATTTGTGCTCAGGCATTTACGTTCTCTGTACATTCAGATCAAATGCCGAAACTTCATGTTGATTTAAAATAAAATTATTATAACATAATCCCCCAGTTAAAGTCTGTTTGCCTGCAGCAAGAACCAACTCATTCCTTCRCTGCCTCAGCTTTGCATCGCTAGAACCCATAAGCTGATGAAGGTAAAAGATTGTCTAATTGCCTATACCCAAAGGGAAACGGTGAGAAAGAATAAAAATATCGATTCTGAAATTGAAAGCACCATATTTCTTTCATATATCACACAACCTCATGAGTTAATTTGAGACAGAGATGCAGTCTCTTCTCCTTCCTTCCTTTCTTGGTCTTGAAGACCTAAATAACAGTTTTCCCAAGCCATTTTATTCTGCGTCCAATCTGGACATCTTTCAATTTCAGAGGAGAAGGGGGACACTGACTATTTAAGTAAGTAATCTGAAAAAAAAATGCAATCTCAATACATACACATTAATTAAGATTTCACTATTTGATAAAAGAGATATACTAGACAGAAAAACAAAAAAAAAAGAAGGAATAAAAGATCATGTGACTGTCATTCCACATTGTTTTAGGAATCTGTAACCAGATGCAATTTCTGCTCTACCCCTTCAATCTCTTTATTAGCACCCTTTCTTTCCAAATCAAATATCTTACAAATATGCTCAGTATGAATTTTAGGAAGGACTGCTTATGAACTAATCACATAAGTAAACAGAAAAGAGGTTGATAATGCTGACATGGTGGCTAGCCAGCAGGTAACCAGAAAAATATTGAGAATTATGAAAATGGTAGGTGCAGATTCATAAATACAAATTGTTTTAAATAACCATAGTTGGCAGTAAAAAGTGATTTATTAAAAGTATTTAATCTTCAATCTTCCAGCAGGTCACAGCAAATRACATTAAGATCCCATAGTCTCTCCTCCAGGTAAAGAGCAGTCTGTTGCCAATATATTGAAAATTTTGGTTGTTTTATAGCTGAAAAAACATTTCATTATTAGTAATCCAGATGGCCAATTATTAATGTATAAAAACTAAAGGCCTACRTTTTGAGATCTGCATTATCTGAAACATGAGACAAAAAGTGCATCAGCAAGTCTAACAACTATTCTGTCAACTATATAGCTGTTGAAATCTTTCTTTTCTCATATTTATTATAAAAGTTAAAAGTTTTCTGTATGGTTCTCTTCTGATATACCTTGAACCTATTTAGACTAACTCAAACAAACTACTAATATGGACAAAACTATGATGCAAAAAATCCCCACATGGATACTGATAGTCAGTATAGTCATTAACATATATCTTCTTGACAGAAGCAGGAAAACAGCATTGTCAGAAATTAATCACAGCACATTCAAGTGAGATGGCTAGGCAGGTCACCAGGGACATGGCGATGCAAACTGAAAACACACCTTTTACACCTTTTATTCTGCTGGTAACTTAGTCCATAAAACTGTTTTCCTGCTCACTGCTCACAACTCTCTACCCAAATGTGGAAAACATGATCAAATGYTCAGCGTGGCTGCCACTGACCTGATTTAACATTTATACACTGATAAGGAGAAACAACATTTTAGCAGTGAATGGACTCCATAGAAGAYTCATTACTTAGACCATAAATGTTTCTTATTCAGTGTCTGAAGTGCAGATCGAAATCCATTACAAATAATCATTGCACTCATCTTACAAAGAAAATGCTGTTTTTAAATAGAAATGCTTGGTGCCTATACAAAACAAACAAAATCTCTTACCTGGGATGCTTATACAATAATAATTTAATATGTTCAAATGCATCCACTGGAAAGAAAACAAACACAAAACCCCCCTGAGGCTAACAGATTCAAGATCTGGTGAACAGCACCAAGAAATCCTGTACATTTTCAGGATTCTGTAGTCCAAGAAGGTAAAAAATACATATGCACACAAGATTTTTTCAGTGCCCATGAGACAATGGTCTGTATTTATATTAATATGTATATTTTTAAATTCAAAACATTCTAATATCACCATTCTATTATTTGGAGAGTGCTATAATGATAGCTATAGAACAAAAGGTATCCATGAAAAATAGTTTATTTCAATTCAACATTTTTSAAGCAAACTCAGTTTTAACACAGGACAGACCCTTCAAATCCTGATCTTGACTAAAATAAACAACTCTTTTAACAATTTATTCTTCGAAATATGCACAACAATGTAAAACCATTATTTCCCTTCTTCCATTCCAGTGGCACACTGGACATTACAATGCAGAACTACGTACCACACACTTATTTTCAGTCTTGCACTCTGTAAGAGTGGTTCTGATCCATTGCTGTGAAGAACAGGCAGACAGCAGCTGTGATGAACACATGCACTCCCTCATACAGTAGCTTGGGCGAGAAGACGCTCCATATGAACAGGTGGTAGCGCAGACCTGTTACCAAAACAACGTAGATGGCAACTGGAATCGAACGCATCAGAGCGTAGCAGAAACAGCCGTGACCCACTGCTGCAGAATTCCTGGCAACAAAAACAGAGGAGCTCATTCTCAGGCAAATTCAGAAAAGACACTGGAGTTCCTCCACTCTTTAGCATTATTTCACAACACAGTAGGTATTCAGAGTTCTTCACTTTATGCTAGAAAACTGACTGTTAATACAATGATGAACTAACAAAGTTTATTCTTGTCACCACTATATATCCTATGATGTGTAAGCATAGAAATCATCATTGCAATAAAGGCATCCAGTAGTTCACCTCACACTTAGATGGTTCTGTACTTTAATATATTTCATTCTAATTGTCAAAGTCTCCATTTAAGCAGTTTCAAGACAGCTTTGTGTCCTGTTGGCCTTACAGTGCCTTTTCAAAGAACCTGAATGATAAAAGAGGACTTCAGTACTCTTCATGAAGCTTCTTAACCCCTTCAACAGATAATCAGATGGAGTCTGCACCCTCCATGTTAAAAGCATAAAAGTTTGCCAGCAACACTGAACAAAACAACATTAAAACTGTGCTATTGGAAAACTTTGCAAGTCTAACTAATATAAAGGCTAACATAACATTTCCAAAGAATACCATTTTCTTAGATTCACAGGAGCAATACACTGGTCTTGTCACAGCCACTCAGCTCAGCCGGGTCCACTGKATCCCAAGAAATGTCTGTCCCATATGTAACCTACATAGTCCAAATTGCCACACTGATGTATTTTGGTGGGTGACATGAGTCAGAWGAAAATGGAAGTGAGGAGGTCTTCTGCACTTTGATTGTCCTTCTCTTGAGGTGCCAACTCAAAGCAATGATGCTGGGTTGGCACCTGTCCAATTTCCCCCAARATACATCTGCCAAGACTGAAATACATCTGCCGAGACTAGTTCACACCAAATTCAGATGTCTAGCCCTTCAGACAAAATGAAGGAAAAAACTGTTTCACTGCAATCATAAGCAGAACATTTTCCTCTCCCCGTCAAAGTACTTTGCATCAWCAGTTCCCAAAAGAACATACTGGCAAAGAGTGGAAATGTTTTACACCAAAATCCTGATCTGAGAATCTGTTCTGCTCCTCCCAGTTTTTAATTCTAATCTTGCTCCAAGTAATAAAAATTTAACATGGCTAGCACTTCTGCAAGATGTTAATTAGTCACTTATGACTAAGCTAGAGAATGCAGTATTTTACATAAAGCATTAAACTTTTTATTCTTTAAATAAAAACAACTAGGATACAGCCCTGTTTTCAAGTGAAATTCCCAAGGCTTTCAGTAGAAGGAAGAACAGGCCATGAAAGCAGAGTTTTAAAGTCAAGAACAGCAGGCATGAATGACTGAAAAACATACATTCAATTCAATGGAAACTTTCCCTTGCTGCTTAGCCAAAGAAACTGAGACTTGGGAGTGAACTAGACTGCTCCCTGCTTCTGCATAACTATCTTAGTCTTCAGTGAGCTCATGTAAATAACCAGCTTTATGTTAAATAACTGATTTTGTTGACAAGGATTAAAGAAAGTGTAGTTCATTCAGTCTTAGCTGTTTTCATGTTGAYATGAGTAAAAACGTTATTTGTAGTTAAAACAGTATTTATAATAGTCAGATGACAACTGAATAAACAGAGGAAATGACTTATAGATCAGACAGACAAACAGGCATTTTTAAAACCATTTTCTASAGTTAAAAAATGCAATTGATAGACCATACAGATGAATGCCCAGGTCAATGATACAATTCTTTCTGCAATCTGGTATCATAAAAGTAGCTAACTATTTTCTACTTAAAAAATACCTTTACTTAAAAAAGTTCTCAGCACTCACTTCACCTGTCAAGATAACACAGACAGCTACCTTCAGAGAAAAAACCTGGACAGTTTCACAGTATAATGCAATAGTSCAATTTAGCAAAAGTATCAAAAGCCCACCATATCCACGAAGTTAAACTGTTAGTGGGATTCAAGAGCAGACTAACTAAGTTTATTTCAGAGCTGGTGACAGCATTCACATGTAGCACTAGAATGACTGAGCACAAGGAGTTAGACTTACTTGGCCAATCTTATTCTAAGGCAACAACTCAGCTCTTCAAGCACATCATAATTCTTTCCTCTTGCTTTGGCCTTGCTTTGGAACAAAATTTGAACAGCTGAGAGTAATGCCTTTGTGTGCTCCTTCTCCTGATTCTACAGACACAGTGCCCACAGCATCTCCAGGCCACAGGGAAGGCAGTAGGCAGGGATCAGGCAGCTACTGATAACATGACCGTGACAATCCAGCTAGTTCAGCCAGCTTTCAAGTTATTCCAAATGAATTCAGCTTTCTCAGAACAGAGAAAGCTGGCTGTGGAATGCCACTCATATATCCTAATGTTTGTATCTGCATCAGTCTGTAATGAATAACCTTGCAAACTCTCAGTGCTGTGTCAACTAAAATAATGGAAGACTACAGGACACATCTAAAGTATCAATCTGTAACTAATCCATACTGAACTGTCTCTTCAGCAATTAATACCTTCCATTATTTAAAGGAGAAGAGCATAGAGAGACAAACTGCACACACTACCTTTATGTTCTGACAAAACCAGCCCACTATTAAGGCTTCTGCACAATGCAAGAGTAAGAGAAAGGAATACTCAGCCTCTAGTATTCAGTTAATTTAGGAAGTTAGCTTATGGGGACTTGAAAGAGAAATCCTTATCTGTTACAGATGACAAAACATATCCAAACTCCATGCGAGACCCAGGAAAAAACAATGTCTTTGGAGATTTCTGAAGCAAARAACACTACAGATTCAGATCACTAAAAATGCCATAATTAGAATGCAAACACTCAATATGGTCTAGAGAACATACCGGCTTTCAAAAAATTGTTTCTTTTATTGGAAAACATTTAATATATAGGAAAACATGGCCAAGAAACCATATATTAATAGGTTTTCTGCTTCTCTGGATATCCTAAACCCTAACTGCCAATGTTTCGTCAACAAATCTTTCACCTCTCAATCTGTCTCTAAAGTGCTGCTAAAATGAGTAATACAAGGCTTGCAAAAAGAAAAAGTTATGATGCCAAAAAAAAAAGAAAAAAGAAAAATAACTCTTTTCTTGTGAAAACATCTCCTAGTTATATAGAATACTTGGCAGCTCATGGCAACAAGTTTCATAGCTTAAAAATCAAGCAAAAAACTCCACAGACAGCCCTACAAACGCATCCACAAGGAATTTTAAAATATCCTGGTTTACAGCGTTCCAACCCTTGTTCCAATGCACCATATCAAATAAACATTTTAGAAATATGTAAGCATATGAGGGAGGAATACCCTAGTATTGTCAGGATATTTTTCTGTGGTTGGAGGAGGAGAATCGTGTCTGGAAGGTTTCAGTACAGAAATGTACCAATTCTTTCAACTCAAGTTATCCTCCAGCAYTTCTGCCCTTCCATCTCCCTTTTTCTAGCTGAATATCACTGCCTAAGCTATCTCCTACTGGAGATACTGATTTTGCCCATTGAAGRCAATTTTTACCGTATTAACATTTTCCACTGTAGTAAGTGGCACTTTTCTTTCTAAGCATTCTCAGTTTCAAAGATCTCTCTGTTTAGCGCTCTCTGAAAAATACTTGGCATTTTGTTAATCTGCCCCATATAAACTAATGAAGAGCTGCACTCAGAAACAAACCCTGTCGCACTCCAAATGTCTGCAACATCTTAGAGTAGCTGCAATCTGTTACAAATTTCTGTGATCTAAGCAAGTATCAAGCAGCTCAGCACCAAGAACAAATTTGCTACATCCCTCCCACATGTCCCACTCTCAGTGTAATTCTATGATACTATTTTAGATTAAGGAATACAATCCTGCATTGTCATGGAAAAACACTTCACATTTTTAGTTCCAAGGGAACCATGAATCCTTTGSAAATTTATATGATCGGCTCTGGTAGAGACTACCCAATCAGAACAATTTTAATGCTATGATATYTTTAATGCTATGAAGTCACAATTTTTGTCACCACACCCTATCAATGGACAAATATCAAAAATTATACTTGCTGGCAAGATAAAAAGGCTATAAAGTATATTCTACCACTATGGAAATGATGGAACTTGGAGATGACTGATTTTTTCTCTGCCTCCTCCATTCTCTTTCCCAGTAAGAAAGGCAAGGAAGTACCACTACCTAAGCAAGGTTGTATCTGTGGCAGTAAGCTACAGGGGACTGTAGCACATGTGCACTGTAGTATAGGGTTCAGCAGGTTCTMACAAGGATTTAGCAGTAAAAAGCTATTAGGACCTGAAACTTCAATTTTCTTCATTTCAGCTTCAAGAGTAGGGAAAACAGAATTGTATCAATGTTTTTTCCTGTCCTCACTGCTGGTATAATTAGTTGTGCTATGAGCTTCATGACAGCAAAATAAGCTAAAAAAACCCCAACCAAACAAAACAAAAAAAAAAAAACAACAACCACTCAAAAGCAAACCAGCCTATTCCTCTTGACATTGGCTCAGACTTTATTGCAAAAAGATATAACCAAACCCTCCTAAACAGGCAAAACAAAAATCGTAAGTAGTTCAAAGTCCATAACTGGTCAATTTTCTGTAAATATTCTTCCAAAATTCACTTAACACTTCAGAA